TAATATACACGTATGATGAATATTTATCAAGAAATTAATATTCTATGTGTTTCAGGTGATGATCCCATGATGCTATGGGTCATCGGTAGTACCATTTTCACAATGATTGTCTATTGGTTCGTCGGTGGCATTTATATTTTCATGGATTTGACTAACCGTCCAGCATTCCTGCGCAAATACAAAATTCAGCCGGGCACTAATGAGCCGGTCGAAACCGAACGTTTAATGAAGGTAACTCAACTTTTATTATAATACATTCTATATTTGCGTGTTGCAGAACATTTTTTTGTCGAATTTCGATATGCTTAGACTTTTACGAAATACTGTAGGATAACGATTACCCGTATCGACTTGAAGTTCAAATTTTGGCTAGGAGCTTATACTGAAATTAACACACCGTACGAAAGTTGCACATACCTGTGCTATATACGTATGCCCATTAAGGTAGTCCAAAAATATGTGCGGGGAAAAAGTTTAAAATGTGAAGCTTTGACCCCATAGGTTTTTTTATGGAAAAAAAGAATATCCGTATTTTTTTGTTAAAACAAAGATATGTTTAGAACTACCTCAAAGGCCATGAAGCTTTCCATGTATTTTATATGGAAAAACATACATTTTCGTAAAAATGGTATAGAATTCTTAAAATCAATATTTTTCGATCGGAAAGTCCTGTTTCTCTTAAGGAGACTTTCAATAACAGTTATATGTCGTTTATTTAACCATTTTTTAATATGAAACATATTTTATTGGTCTCCAAAAACCCAAAAAAAAATACATTGGAGAGACCCATAAAAAATTGTTAGTATTACAAAATGGTAAAATAAAGAATTGGGTATTATTATTGCAAGGAAGCAACCTAATTTTCCTATCGAAAAATATAGATTTTCAACAATTCTAAACTATTTTTACGAAAAATAGCTAAAGCTTGCGGCGTTGTTGTTGAAACAGCATAAAAATTGATCGCAACGAAGACTAAGGCGTCTATATACGTTCATACCTATATAGACAAGTAGGTCTACTGGATACAGAGCTCTTCACAACACCTCATAAAGCTCTAGAGACACAATAAATTTCAAAATAGATCTCGGGCATAGGGGGCGTATATGCTCCTCTTTTGGCCACATATGGCTATGCTCCTCTTTCTTCTACGTGATATGGCCTCATAGTGCAGTAGGAGATGTAATGATGTCCGAGATCGACTTTAGCCACAACTTCGAAATATCTCACAGAAAGGACAGGGAATCTAACACCGCAGGAATCTAACACAGCAGTGACAAGATTTCAGTATTCACAGATTAATCTGAAATAGACATAAAAATGGGATCTGACATACAGACCTCCAGATTGCTGTTTGTAAGCATTATGGACCTTATTCACACAAAACTCGCCTTACTTATAAAAATGTCAGGCTGCGATCAAGACCCTGAAGTCCGCAGGCACTAACTTGATATAAATTAAGGAATGCCATAAAATCTTTTAGACATCACATCGTCACTCTTTACAGAGTCCCAAAGCATAGTTGAATTTCGGAAAATAAAAAAACTGACGAGTACGCGGAAGAAGTTAGAGCATATTTCTATCAGGAAAAAGCTTCTTACAAAAAACCATCTGCCGTTCGGAGACGGTGTTAAACCGAACGTCCTCCTATTCGTTTGATAACTTTAAGAAGCACTCCTGAAATTAGAGCAGAAGCTTGACCAAACCCTTAGCAATTTACACAAGTCAACTGCTGAATTCAACTAAAATTTGCCTGTAAACTCGCCTCATGTAAATTCCCTACTAGACAAAAAAACATATAGAGGCTATGCATATCGAATATCGCTCAAAAAAAAAACTTATTTTGCTCTGTGGCATTATACTTAACAATAATATGGTCTCTTTTTCTTCACTCCCAGGTTATGTGGCGCGTAATAAGCAATCAGCTATTTGTTGGTATTCCATTCGCTTTTCTCAGCTATAAACTAATGACATTGCGTGGCCTCAACTCGATACGCGAATTGCCAACATTCCACTGGGTTTGTGTAGAACTGACCGTGTGCATTCTAATGGAAGAGTTAGGCTTCTACTATTCCCATCGACTGTTGCATAATAAACATATTTATAAATTTATACATAAGCAACATCACGAATGGACAGCACCAATAGCGGTTACGGCAATCTATTGTCATCCCATTGAGCATATCTTTAGCAATTTACTGCCTCCATTTCTGGGCGTTTTTCTAATGAACACACACGTTGCCACGGCTTGGATGTGGTTTGCTCTAGCTATCCTATCGACACTCAATGCGCATTCCGGTTATCATTTGCCCTTCTTTCCCAGTCCAGAGGCGCATGACTTTCACCATTTGAAGTAAGATTTACTTAATAAAATAGCAAAGCCATTTTGTAACAGCTATTTGATTATAAATTTAAAAAAAAAAATAATCTTTCAGATTCAACAATTGCTTCGGCGTGCTAGGTGTTTTGGATCGTCTTCATGGCACTGATATTTTATTCCGAGCAACTAAGTCGTACACGCGACATATTATGATGTTGAGTTTCGTGCCACCGCGTGAGGCCTTCCCGGATTCATCAACTAAATAAAATTATTATTTATAAAATTCAAGTGGGATATATTTTTCAACTTGGTTTTAATGCATTACGTATGCATATATGTGTACGCACTAAATTATAAATATTTGGCAATACTTATAGATTTAAGATGCAATTTTTAAATTTATGTGATATGAATGTATGTATGTATAAATGTAGCTAAATAAGGCAATAAGATAAATATTAATAATCTGAAATAGTCATTTATATACCTTATTGGGTCAGAAATTGTAAAGGAGTGAAACCTTTTAATGAAATGGTACGTAATTGCAGTCAACGAGTGGAACTTATAGCTTATAGACCTGGCCAAAGACGCATGAGTTCAACTTCAGAAGGGGCTCTTACTCCTTTATCGGATTTATCGATCCAAAAGGAGGCAATGAGAGCAAAGTGTCCACAGCGTTTTTTAGATTGCGACACGACGATCGTCATTCTGGACACAGAGAGTAGTTCAGAAGTTTGTCGAACGTATTACCTGAAGTCCCTTTCGGCAGAAAGCACGTCGGTAATTTTTCAGACACTATTTTGGGGTATTCAGTAAAAACTTTCTATACCGACGGGCAAAATAGTGAAAATGGAACTGGAGCCGGATGAAATCTGGAGGCTAACTTCTGATGGTTCCCTACTTTAGGTACGATAACCACGCTCATTCAATCGGAAACTTTTGCAATGCTTGGGGCCGGTTGCTCAAAGCCTGGTTGACACTAATCCCCGGTTAAACATCGTTATCGACGTTNCAGAGAATTTGCGGAACACATTTGCGACGGCGAGTCTCGAAGAAGATGGGATAATAAACTATATGACCCTTACCAGGATATGGACATTTTAAGATGCAGAGGCTCCGCCTGCTTGGTCTTGTGTTACGAATGGACAAAAACGTCAAAGTTAACACAGGAAAAATAAGTCGAAGGCGCCCCTGCAATGTTAAGGCTAACAGAGAAAGACTTGGCATTTCCTAATACGGCACTGTTAAACTCCTTTCCTTTCATAATCATCACCCTTAATCAGGAGAATTCTTCTTTCTGTGTTGCCAAAGAAGAGGGATAGGTCACGCCTTCTGGTGTCAAGGCAATGTAAAATTATTTGGGCATATGTAAGGTGTAAGCGCAAAAAATTTAACAGTAAATATCTAAAAAACTATTAATAAGTAGACCCCCCCGGCATAAGCCGCTTTAAGTATCATAAAAAACCTAGTATATCTTGAGAAAAATTAAATAGTTCATGCTAGCGAAGTCAACCAAACATTTTACGCGTTTATTTAGGAATCGCTTCCGTAGTTGGCATTAGGAAACCCAAATTTCTTTAATTGAGAGGGAATTGGAGAGAATTTTTCTTACTGCATAGCATGGTGCATAGCAAAAATATATGGATGCGCAATATGTGCGGGATCGCAGACATTACAACTCTCCAATTTGAGCGCTCATACATACTTTTCGAAATCAACCCTGCATATTGTTGCTAGCTGAATAAGTGATGTCAGTGCAAAAGTCCATCGATGTTTTTTTGTTTATTCGATGCATCGATTTGCATAGAATTTTTTAGATAAAATTTCACAAGAAAATGTGTTATTAGTAAAATTATAGAAAATTTTAAATAGATCACTGCAACTTAGCTAATTATGTTTCTAATGGAACTTTTTTGATCCATTAAAATTTTTGGGTCAAAGGCATACCCCCTTTTTGTACAATTGAAAAACTGGAATGACGTTTCGATACTAGAAATGTCAATTAAAAGAAAAACACATCTATGAATCGTTGCATCGCATGATTCAATAATACAAGGTTCGATAAACTGACAGTTGTCTCTCTCGCACCGCTCCCTTAGCAGTGGCACCGTGTTGCTTCTTTGCAAATTTACATGGAAACAGTGTAGCTTTGGTGTGAAATAAAAGTATAAGCTTTTGTGCAATATGTTTATTTGTATATGCATATGAAGCATATTTAACTGATGAAAACATAAGCATTGGATGTTTACATCAATTCATAGTAGTCTTATTTTAATTTTGAGTCATTTTGCAGTTTTTATACGGCTAAATAGCATATAAATTACGTAATACACGTAGATATATCAATATTACGTTCAACATTTCGTTTAAAATGCCATATTTCCTGCAAATACATTAGAATATACAAAAGGAATTTCACTACTAATTCCCTACTTTGCGTACTTTTCTACTACCATTTTCGCAACAAGGGATTGCATTCTTGCCCTTCCTCTGTCCATCGTAAATGCAACCTTTTGTAAGGGAGTGTCAAACCGCAGCTGTCAATAATTATCTAACCTTGTATTATTGAATCATGGTTGCATCGATACATAGACTATTTAAACATCGAGTGGAAATTTTTCGATGTATCGATGTTTTTCCGACATCACTAACCTTAATCAGCTGGTTGCGAAACATACCCATTGGTTTTGATAAATTTCTTTTACAAACGAAAATAAAGAAAAATTTTGAGAATCTGGTTAAAGAGGCGACTGTTCATCAATTTCTGCGATTATTTTTGTTTTATACATTATCTTTCGTGAATGCAGCTCAAAGTGATAAGATCCCTGTTATGGCATTAAAAGTGATTTCGCTATTTTTCGCATGTTATCTGCAATTGTTGCTGCATCAGCAATATCCAAATTTGGTTGCTGGCGAAAGTGTTGCAAGTATAACGTCATCATTGCCAAATAATGGCTCTAATATTCCCATAATAAAGTATCAAATTACAAATACGCCTAATGTCGGCAAGAGGTTACTTCAGGATGTGATAAATGGAACTACAGGCAAAGAAACTGGTGATAAAGTGCAGAGTCGCAAAATAACAAACACGGAAAATGTACCAAAACCGACAGAAATGCAAGACTCCTTAAAGGGAGATATTGTTGCACCGGCATTATCAATAAATTCCAATAGAACCGGTCCAAATTTAGTTGAGATCGCACCAAGTATAGTTGTAGATATGAATACCCTTCAATCTAATAGATCAAATTCAATTAAGTATAATGCCACTAAAAGTGACAACATTACTACAGGTAATCAAAACCATACCAATGAAGGCATTTACATAAATTCCACAAAATCTTTGAATCCAACAAGCGTAGTAAACAAAACTATAACAACTACACTTGCACCCGCAGCTGCCAAAAATGATGTTGTTGCGCAAACTGGTAATGATACCCTCGAAGTAAGATCTACAAAAAGCACAATCACAAACACTACAACTACGACCAAAATAATGCCAACAACGACCAAAACAAAACCAACAACAACAACCACTACCACGCCGAAACCCAAAAAACCAAGCATAACATTTGGATTAGGCGATTTTCCACATTTGCCAGGAGAACCATTCGTTAACAATAAAAAGCCAGAATCATCTAGCTCTAAATTGCCAGAATTAAGCGAGCCTGTCGTACTACCAGATGCGCAGCCATCAAAAGAATTAAACAACGGATTCAATTATCAAAGCAGCCGCGATATTATTGTACCTATTATGACAGTCCTCTTCACAATACCTTTGGCAATAGGAGTGGTAATTACCACTTATCGTCGCTTCCGCGATTGTTGGTCAACGCGACATTATCGCCGAATGGATTTCTTGGTCGATGGCATGTACAACGATTGACAACTGATTACCGAAGAATGTACCAATGATGCGGTGCAGAAGTATGATGCGGGGGCAGAAGTTGAAAACGCTGTAGACGTTGCTCAGCAATTAATGCAGTAGCGCACAATTATAACAATTTAAAGAAGTTGTAGTATTTTTAAGAGTGAGATTCACTATAAGTTTATACGAATTTTCAATGTACTTTAAACATATTGATACGTGTACTATATATTTCAGAAAAAATTTTAAATTGCTTTAAGTCTTACACTTAATGAATGCATTTAATTTAAATGTGAAAAAGAAAAATGTCACACTTAAGAGCATGTTATATCTAGATTTCAAAATTTGTATATGGCCAAATTTTGTTCGTAAGATCTTTTCTATAGAATTATGGTACATACTCGTAATTGCGGATATTGAATTTTATTACGAAAATCAATGATATACATAGTAATACAAATCATAAGTTCTTAGGATATTTTGCAAAGCAAACTCTCATGTAATCATTTTATTTATGTATGTACGTGTAGTACTCAAACCTTGCAATTATTATAAAAAAAAAACATTTTTTTTTTAAGCTTGAAAACTTAAAGGGCATTTCCATGTAATTCAATTGAAAGAAGCATTTATGCAAATTATGAACAACCGTTATCGATTCGCCACTTCTCTGTCCGCTATGTTTGAGTTCCGGTCGCTAAGCGAAAAATTTTGCATCTGAAAGCAACAACAAAGTTAGCTAGCGAGTTTGGTTGTACCGCATTGAGTTCGTTCGTTTCGCTACTAGCTAACTCTTGCCGAATCGATGACGGCTAATATATACTTTGAACGTTAGATAAGCTAGATATATACCTATTTTTCCAAATGATCCACATTATTTGAAAATTTAGACTTTAAATTAGGCTTCCATATACTCCCAATTTCATTGTTTTTCGGAATCAAAATAATATTGTAATCATTTCTATTTATGCGACAATAATTTTAGAAACTAAATTTTGATACATACATACCTATATATGTATGTATTTATTCAAGTAATATTAAAGCAATGGCATACATATACTTCTGTGTATGTACATATGACCATTACAAATTAAATGTAACAAAAAATGCGTTTTTAGGCACAAAAGTGTTCGATTATAATATTTTTTTAGATTTTGTTTAACCAATTTATCGATGTTTTTTATCCATATACATAATTTTGAAATAACATTAAAACTCAATGGATTACACTCTGAGTTAAGCATGAATTTAACTTACAGTAAAAAAAAAATAAAATAATAATAAAAATCGAACACCATCACGCAAAAGTTTGTTACGTTTAATTTGCAATGGCTACATCTGAATGTTCGTACGTTATTAGAGAAATTGTAGATTTGACAGTGCCTTATAATATGTAGTAATTGGCGATTTTTCATTTAGGAAAGAAAAACATAAGTCCAAAGGTGAATTTGCCTTGATAAGTCCATTAAAAATATAAAAGCAAACATATATGTATATGTATATAACTGTGGTCATATGGAATAGTAGCTGAATTCGGGAGGCTGGCTTTAGTATAATGTGCCTTTGAAGAGCTCTTGGCAAATAAACATGATAGGAATAGTTCTGTTGTTAGCAAATTAATATTCTCGTTGTCATCAATCACATTGTACTAAAGCCAGCCTCCCGACTTAAGCTACTACTATGACCAAAGATATGTATGTATTTCAGTTACTCATGAAATCAAAGAATATATGAGGTGTATGTACATACACGTGCATGTACATAATATGGCTCATGTATAAATAAATAAAAACGTAAAAATATGTGTATTAAAAATTATTAAGACTTACATACGTAGTATATTCATGTACTTTAAAAATACCGGCTGAATAAAACAAAAATAAAAATTAAATCCCTATTTTAAATATTTTAAACTTAAGATTTTATTTTGTATACCTGAGCGCACTTGTGCACAAAGGTTTTATGACTTTGTTCGCATAGGGCATTCTTCAACCAAATTCTGAGACAGGGTTCCCACGACAGTCGGGTCTACGTAACCGGAACGACCCAGATTTATATCTGGCCAAGGTCTGTTACTCCAGCAACACTCCCCAAAAAGTCTTTGGGGAATTTGTATGCTGCTACAACAACAACAGGGTGTTTTCCAATAAAATTCTGAAATAGGGCGTTCTGCAATCAAATTTTGAAGTAAGGCGTCGCTGCCATCGATATGTATATGTATACGAAAACAGCGATAAATTAGTATCTTCAGAAGTGATTTCACTCATAATTTATATTTTCAATAATTTTTTGCAATTAATGAGGCTATCATAAATTTTTGGAAAATGGATGTTGCACCGAAACTCAGATATCTCAATAACGAAAACGCTTATTTACTTCAAGTTAATACTTAAAACAATATCTTAACAAATAATAAGATTACTATAGATTTTTGGAAAATGGGGATGACATAGAGTATCGGTCATATCCTTAGCATCCCACTTTCAAAATGATACTGTTTTCCACNAGACCGCAACACCTTCGGCAAAAAATTTTAATGGTCAATAAAACTGTATATTCAAATAAATTCTAACACTTCTGAGAAAAAAGTTTGATATTTTGACGAATTTTTTTTTTTAATTTTTTTAGTTTTCTACAAAGTTTTAAACTTGGTTTTGTTAGAAAATGAACTATAGCTTAATTGAAAATTCTTAAAAATAAATAAACATAAGTTGCAAACAGTGTCACTTTGAAATTGGGGTGCTAATGATATGACCGATACCTTACATAGCTATGGTCAATGATAGCACCAATGTTCAAAATTGTGTTGTTTGCTACTTACGTTTATTTATTTGTTTTCAATAATTTTAATTTAAAATATTCAATCTATTAACGGAAAGCTTCCATATAAAAAAATTAACTCGATTTTCGGAAGAGATATGTATTTTCACAAGTTTTGGCTATTTTTCTTTGTTTAAAAAATGTTTATTATTTATGTAAATATAGCAAACTAAAAAACCATGTAAATAAAAATTTCAAACTTTATAGAACATTTATAAAAAATTTCATCCAAATTCAAAACTTTTTGATCAGGATTTTTAGAATGTATGCAGTTTTGTAGCGTGCTGAATTAATTAGGTATAGTAAAGTGCAAGTTTGAAAACGCTAGGACTTAACATTGATTTTTAGTAATTTTTTGCTCACGCAGTTTCTTCCATAAAAAGTATGTTCGGCATTTTTTTTTCAGCAACACCTACCACAAAAAAAAATCCAAAAATCAACGTTAAGTCCTAGCTACTAAAAATTATACCTCGTTATAATAAAATTGAATGGGCTACTGAATACTCAGAATATTTCTTAGAAATCTAATTAAAATCTAATAAAAATTTGTATGAAACTTTGTCGAATTTTTGCTAATTTTTGTACGAAGTATGAAATTTTTACTTAGATGGTGTTTGTTAGATAACGAGCTACACTTTCATACAAAAAAAAATAAAAAATAACCGTTAAATAAACAAAAGGGAAATAGCCGAATACTGCTAAAATGTATGTTTCCTATTTATATTTTCGCAACTGTAGGAATTATATAGGGGCATACGGTGAACAAAAAATACGAATTTGTGATCCAGTGTTATCACTCCTCTTAAAGACATTGCCAATACACATACAAATACATACATACATACATACATCATTCTAAAGATGCAATCATTAAACTGCATACTCGTATGCAGTGAAAGCGAAATGATCGACAGCAAAGGTTGCTACTTTGCCTCAGGGTGAAGACCGCAGGGTGGTCTGGCGCTTGTTTTCTTAACTCTGTTGTTTTCTGCTTGTCAAATGTGGCATGTGTTTATGTATTTACACCTTCGAACCAAAACATTTCCCAACACACTGCGCCACTCCATCAAAAAATTACTCCAATGTTGGCCAAATAACACGTCTACTGATAGCCTGAATAACCAACCATAGGCATTACAGTGGCAAAATAAGCCGCTCGAGTGGATTGGTGAGGCAGTGCATTAACAGCTCAATAGAAAATCGAGATATCCATGTACTAAATCGTAATGAAAACATACACACCTACATACATATGTGCATGTTCGACAAAAACGAACATCTAAAAATACATGAATATACTTGTAGATACATACATATGTACGTATGTATTTAGGATTAAAAGTTTACATTAGAAATTTATTAAAACAGCAGAAAAATCGCACCAACTAGTTGGTGGTTATTTTGTTTGTAAAAAATTATAAACAAAAGCGTGTAGCCGAAATTTGCTGGAAAACATTTTCCAGCGTGAGGCACCACTATGTAGGTACATCAATTGGGAAATAAACCCAGAAAAAAAGAAAAAAACATGTCTAGTCGTTCAATACAATTACTGTATATTGTATGAATGTATACTTATATATGTGCATTGTATGTATGCAAAAAAGCAGAGTATAATTTTGAAATTTCTTCGCGCTTTCCAATTTTTGTTTGACTCAGTTTAGTTGCCTTTTCTAGCTCCTAACGTTTAGAGCTTCTATCTACCAGACGCGTTCAGCCTTTTATATTAAACTAAATTTTTGAAAAAAAAACGCGATCGCATACTTTGAATTTTTATAAATTGTGTGTGTTTCAAAGCTAAAAAATTGCATAACTTAAACAAAATGAATACTGCGCCTACGCAACATCGCACACGTGCGAATCCCGTCTCTTCGCATGCCATCGTATATCCAACAACGGATGTACGATTGCCAACCGTGCAAGGATCGCGCGTCTACCAGGGATTGAAAACATGTATGTATGTATGTTCTACCTATGTATGTGTAGGTACCGCCAAAAAGACGTTATCGACATTTTTTCCAAATTTTTTTCTTTTTGATGCAAGAATCTTCCTAGAGCATCCAGATGTATTTCTGCATCCAAAATAAAATTTTGAAAATGTCGCCTACGTCTGTTTGGCGGTTAGGGCTCGATATGGTGAATCAAAAAAAAAAAAAATCGCATTTTTGTAATTTGGTCCTGTGCCAATCAGTGGAAGAGTTCTATGGTGACAAAAAAAAACTTTTTACTATAGTGAGAAAATTTTACATTTCTGCTGCGCCAATTCGTAACTTTTTACTGCTGGAAATTTTTCACAGAACGCTCCGGTGCAAAAGAAGTTGAGCCATTAAAATGCAGAGCAGATGCTCCATCATTTCTTCTGCATCTGGTGAATTACAGCTACGACAAAAAGTGTTGTGTTCCAGTCCTAGTCTTGCAGCATGGATTCCCACGGCCCAGTGCCCTGTGTAAACGGCATTTAGTCGAGATAGATCCCTCCTGTTTAGTTCGATAAGAAAAGCAGTGCGTTTTGGACAGAAGGTGGGCCACAGATTCCTGCAGATCACCCTACAGGATTATAGGTCATTCCACCCATTGTTAGCCACCTTTTGCCGTGCTGAGAGATGCGGCTCTTGATATAGCGCAGAGGCACAGAAATCTCTGGCTTTGAGATATCCAGAGCAGACCCATTCATGGCCAGCTCGTCAGCCATCTCGTTGCCATGAATTCTGCTGTGCACCGGCACCCATATCAGTGTTACGACATGCCTGTCAGCTAAATCCATATCGTTTTATTATGCTGGAGGTAATGCTTACATAGCCAAGTACCTTGATCGCTGCCTGACTATCAGAGAAAGTAGCAATGTTGGCGAACTTCTCGCTAGCTTCGAGGCTAAAGTTATTTTGCACGCCTCTTTTATAGCAAAGACTTCTGCCTGAAAAACACTGGCCGAATTTGGTAATCGAATAGACTCTAGGATTTGAAGGTCGGTCGAAAATATTCCCGCCCCTACGCCACAATCCATCTTTAGCCATCCGCAAAGATGGATACTTCGAAGCGTTCAGTAAAAATAGGATCCTTTCACTGCTTTCTTGATGGAAAAATCGTACGGAAGTTTTTCTTGAAAAGAAGCGAAGGACAAATGTAGTCAGATTTTTCGCGAATGATTGGGTTGTTGAAAGAGTACAGGATTTGCCCACGCGCGTACGTACCTTCTTTCCATAGTCTAAGTTTCCGCAACCTCAGGGCACTCTGTGAAGCAATTTCCTTAAAAAAAGAGATCAATCGGTGGCAGATGACAGATGACATTCAATGGTTCCGTTGGACATGATCTGATCGCCCCGGTTATCGCAATGTAGGCTGACCTTTGTACCCTGCCTAAAATTGTGCGTATGTACTTTATCTCTACGGCTTTCCACCAAACCAGCGAACCGTACGCAATAATTGTGCGAATCACATTGCCTTGCATATCCATAGCATAATATCGGGTCGTAGGCCCCATTGATTACCCAGCGTTTTACTTGCAGGAATACAGAGCACCATAAGCCTTTTTTACTCGTTGCTCTGTGTTCATTTTCCAGCTTAATTTCGATGTAAGAATGACTCCCAAATACTTAGCGTAAGGGGAAAGAGAAAGAGTATGCCCATTTAAGGATGGTAGGTTAAAATTAGGAATCTTTTTCCGTGTAGTGAATAATAGTAATTCGGTCTTCGAGGGATTAATGTTGAGCCCGCAGCTATTTGCTCAATAACCCAATTCCCCTAGTGCTCTTTGAAGCATTTCGCTTATCGCATTTATGCAAAATCCGGATACCATAATCACTACATCATCTGCATACGCGACAGCTTGGACCCCTTCCCTGCTGAGTCTTTTAGCCCTTTTAGGTAAGCATACTATGCAGTAGACAATTCTCCGTTGCCTAATTTTGAACGAGTGTGCATGTCCAGTAGTCGCTCGAAAGTTTTCAGTGTAAAGGACGAGAGACTGGTGGGTCTGAAATCCTTAGGCACCGTATGCCCCCTCTTGCCTACCTTGGGAATGAAAACTACTTTAACACTTTGTCAAGTAGACGGAACATAGTTGAGCATTGTACATGCTTTGAAAATGTTCCCCAGC